ATATCATCCAACATGGTGGTCATGTCTTTTGTTATATCATCCAACATGGTGGTCATGTCTTTTGTTATATCATCCAACATGGTGAACATGTCTTTTGTCATAACATTCAACATGGTGGTCATGTCTTTTGTTATAATATTCAACATGGTGGCCATGTCTTTTGTTATATCATCCAGCATGGTGGCCATGTCTTTTGTTACATCATCCAACATGGTGGTCATGTTTTTTGTTATATCATCCAACATGGTGGTCATGTTTTTTGTTAAATCATCCAACATGGTGGTCATGTCTTTTGTTACATCATCCAACATGGCGACCATGCTTGTTATATCAACCAACTTGCTCTGCTCTACCTGTACAATTCTCTCCAGTAAACTGTGGTGTGCATCTACATTTATAATCTCTTACTCCAATATCTATGCATGTTCCATAGTTCTGACATGGGTTTGCAACATCACAGAACTTATCTGGAAAGATAATATAATACCAGTGATCAGATAGGAGAAAAGAGGTAGTAGAGAAGGGCAGCTAGGGGGTAAGGGGGGAATGATTGAAAGAGATATAAACAAAATATATTTCAATAGTCCCCTAGTTCCCTGTGCCATCTTGAAAGGAGAGACTTGGAGATATTAGCATGTACTTGCTATCTTGTAATTCAAGTATAAATAAAGTTATTGTATTGTATTGTATTGTATAGAGACCTTTTTTAACACCTTGTACAATAATTTACGCGTCTCTATAATAGCGCAGCGCACTGATCCTAAAAATAGCTTAAAGATTCGGACAAACATTGCATTCTGTTTAACCGCTACGAGGATCATACGAACCGATTTTATTATTTTTACTTAAAGTTACAATAATAACCCATGTAAACTAAGTTCAACTGCGATCGGCTGTGAAAATGATCTGCTGAAAGTAAACTTGTAAGTTTGTTTGTCCGAATTTCGCCTTTGTCTTCGTTTTTATGACGCCACGGTTGCGCTGCGCTATTGCAAAGTCAACGCCGTTCCATGCACAGGCACGGTTACCTTTCAATATGGCACGAGCGACTGTAAGGGGAACTGTAAAAATATTACAGATTTTTTTCACTGAGATTCAGTAACGCTCAGTAATCAAGTGAAAACTGTGGATTATTTATTACAATATACAGTGTAAACATATTCAATAATTCTATTAACTATGGTGTAAACTTACATTGACAACGGTCGCCGTAGTAAGGCGGTTTGCACACACAGTACTCCTGTCTTTCGCCTTTTACCAGGCATGTACCTCCGTTTTGACAGGGGTTTGGAAAACATAGTTGTTCTGTTTTACCTAAACATAAAATGAAACTTAAAAGCACTAACCAAGGATGGACATGGAAAACAAGGAACAGTCTTATGGGGAAAAAAACAACTACCGAAAGAGCGATTAATCAAACATCGGAAAACAACACAAAAACAATAATTGAACGAACGAAACATCAAGCAAGCAAACAAAGCGGATGGTTCTTGAAAATAAACAAGAAAGAAAGAAAAAAGAAAGAAAGAAAGAAAGAAAGAAAGAAAGAAAGAAAGAAAAAAGTGTGGAATTCAGGGCAGCTTCACTAGTGCGCATGTGTAAAAGGTCACTGCGAAATCACTTTGGTTCAAACCTGCAAAGGTCGAATGTTGATGCAATGCACTTTTTATATTTTAGAACTTCCGTAATTTACTCTGCCATGTGGTTGCCAGCCCTTGTTTTATATATTGCTTTAAATAAGACATTCCGAGGTTGAGAGAAAACTGGGTCGAAACGGCATTTCAGTGCATTGTGGGACAAGTCTTATGAAACGTAATACACGTCATCTCGGAAATATGTCCCGTTAAACAGTCCCGCCAGTCCGACGGATCCAGCTTTTCCCTCAACCTTGGAACAGCTAATTTTCACCCCTTCTTTTGCGCTTTGTTGAAAAGCTCAGCCAGGTTTGCCCTTAATTTGCAAGCTTTCAGGAATACAGTGAGACCACCTATACGATATCGGATCTCAGTTATCAATGTTTTACCTTCAACACAGCCGTTATGTGCATCAAATGTCAAAGAAACGCCATCGATGGTTGGGCAAATACAGTCCCCTACGGCATCACAAGTCGAGTCATATGTCTTCTTACCAGGCACGATTGTAGCTTTTGGACAATCACAATCTGTATAGAGATATGTAATAATAATTTATTTATCTAATACAAAATGGCTTGATATTAACATACGAAAGTTGAATGAAAACTAACAAATTAAATTAAATTAAAATAATAATTGAAAGATTAATAGAATTCCTTCACTCTGGGAAATTGAATTATTTCTTATGTGAAACGTTTGTATTACTTAAACCATCCAATATGGCTGCCATCATGTGATAGCGCAAAACCTTTATTGGGAAGTAAGGGTGACGTAGCGGTGTGAGCGCTCGCCTCTCATCAATGCGACCCGAGTTCGAGTCCCGCCGGGTTCGGTGTTGTATATGAGTAGAGTTGTTTGTTGGTTCTCTCCTCTGTGGTTCAGGGGGTTTTCCGGGTTCTCCAGTTTTCCTCCCTCCGCAAAAATCAACTCCTAAATTCCAATTCCATCACGGAATGAGGGCCACAGGTTTGTTAGCCACTGGCTATTAAGTGCTATACCCTCGTGAAAAAAAAAGGACTTTTTTATAGTGACGGAAAGGGCGTAAGGACAGGCAAATTGAGTTATATATCAAGTGCGTTTGTTGGTCAAGATACAAAATTGATGTAAAATAAAAGGAAAAATCATGACTCATTTAATAAAAATAAAGAATTATTAACAGTGCCCAAAAGAAGTTGCCCTGTTACCGCCCCAGGGCTTAGTTGTCGGCGATAAACGAATCTACATTATCATCAGATATTTGTATGCTTCTTACCTTGGCAGTTTTTCCCACTGTATTTTCCTTTGCAATCGCAGAAGTAGTCATGCTTCTCCTTCAGATATTTGCAAGGGAAGTTATGCATGCAAGGATTGGGCTGGCAGAGGTCTGGAAGGCGTACTGTTGAAAAAAAGTTCCTTCGAATTTAACTCTTAGCTCTTTGATATTTTTTAACTTCAGGGCCCGGTTGTACGAAGGGTGGATAGCCGACTATCCGACGGATAAATCTCACCCAGTGGATAAATTTATTGGATAACAGCATCGACGTATCCACTGGATAAGGAATTATATATCCTTCGGATAGCGCTGTGCACCTTTTGTACAACCGGGACCTAGTCTGCGTAGCGGCCCAAAACGGATAGGAACCTAGTCTACGGCTTTATCCCCATCCCCATCGCAAGGCGTACTGCTGAAAAATGGTTCATTCGAATTTAAGTTTTAGCTCTTCGATATTTGCAATTTTTAGTCTTCGTAGGCCGCGCGCAAAAGGGATAGGGACCTTCTCCACAGCCTCACCCCATCCCCAGTATTTCATTGGTGATTTATTACCGTTTAGTGCAGTTTTAGAATTGAATATAAAGTTTCAACACGCGCTGTGATTGGCAAGGGACCAGTAATTCTGAGACGATAATCACTGCTCGAACGGTGATTACGTGGCTCCCCACCGTTTTCCAGAGCGGGAGTAATACTAAAAGTTTTTTTTCTTAAATCCTGAATTTCGTCTTTCAGTATTTTCCTGATATTCAAGTCTAAAATTATACTAAAACAATTATTCACCTCAGGCTCAGTATACTCGCGGTAAATATTCACCGCTAATCACTTCATCTTCGGCGAATAATTATTATAAAATCTCGGTTCAACCGAGCCAACGGTGTGGTAGTTGTAGTACAAGTTTTACTTACTGTTGCAGTCTGGTCCTGTGTATTGTGGAGGGCAGACACAAAATCTCTTATCTCCTATTGCATAGCAACTTCCACCATTCATGCAGGGCTTCAGGGCACACATATCACATATAACTTATGAAAGAAAATAAGATGGCAAAGTTGGCGAAATCAATTGCTATTTTTGGAAAAGACATCGACTTTTTTAATGGGGTGATGTAACTAGAGTAATGTTGATAGAAGTATGATTGTATGGGTTACAGCTGTTTCAAAAAAGGGGAAGATGTTACCTTGCATGTTGAATTGTTGCATGTTGCATGCTGCATGCTGCTTACTAAGCTTGAAATGTATTATATTCATATGTAAATGTGTCATCACAAAATAAATTATGCCCGAAAAACGTGCAGAAAAAGTTCGGCAATATTCCATATTCTTCGATTGCACGTTACGTCATCGCGGGCGCGTTGGTGCCATTTAACAAAATATTTCTCATTAGCCGAGCGCCCATTGTTAAGGGAATAAGGATTGGAAACATATTGTCATGTCCTCCAAATTGAGCTGCACTCCGACGGTCCGCAAGGAATCTATTAAGCTGACCAAATTCCCCCCCTCTCCCCACCCCCTCTAAAAAAAGTCTCTTATTACTTAATTATGGATCTCTTCTGGCCTCAACTAGGCGACTATGAATCAAAAGCACCTACTAGTTACTTACGATCACAGTGCTCCCCGCAATACCCTTTGGGACATTTACAGTCATAAGACAAATCAGGTCCAATAGAACATGTTGCGCCGTTACTGCACGGATTTGGGTGACAAGGAGAGGCTATTCCTAGAGATATGCAGATGAAATAAGTTAACTTGGACTTGCTCTCTGACCGCACATTAGGTGACAAGGGGATAAGAAAACTAGAAAAAGGGGCATGATGAATAAAATTATCGACATCTGTACTGCTGATAAATGACATTGTACTGATGGACATCTTTGCACTAGTGATCCATTTTAGATGGCAAAGCCATCCAGCCAGTTAGCTAGCCATCCAGCCAACTAGCCATACTTATGTCATGAGAGATGAGGCGGTAAGCTGGTGAGCTGGCTCATTTTTTACGCGACTTGAAGTTGTGAAAGGACCATTGGTCCTCTTCTTCAGTCGTTTCATACAAGGCACGTAATTTACCTATTACGCACATTCTTATGTCAATAAAGTTAGTCACCTGAAAAGCTACAAAGCTGAGACTGACAAGAATTGTGGTTAGATACATTTTACATGCTTTAACCGCTTGATAACTGTTGATGGACTTGCACATCTTTTACCAGTTAAAGTCTCACCTCTTCTAAGCATCCTCAAGCTACAGTTTGTATCAAAAAATCTTTACTCGTTTGCTATAAAAAGTTTCCCATGATGCTCAGTGATCTCAGCTTTCTAGGTTTTTGGTGACAAACTGCATTCGGAAATAAGTATATTTTAAAACACCAATGATAATGTTTTAACAGTTTGTCAGTTCTAAGCATAATATAGACACGACAAACAAAAACCGCTAAAAAAATTACAAAGAAAGTAATAACATGAATGAAAATATAAGATGTATTAAAAACTGAGTACCTAATACCACAACCATCCTTACTTGTACAGTCGAACCCATCACCAGTATATCCAGAATTACAAACGCAACGATGATCGACACACACAGTATGGTCGTGACATGAATCACAGATATCGGCTGTCAAAAGAGAGACAAAAAAAAAAAAAAAAAAAAAAAAAAAAAAAAAAAACCACTGCTGTTCAATAGATCCCTTTACCTTCCTGTGCAAATTGCCCATTTCAGACCAAATGACATTCCCCTGAGAATTGTTCTTTTGTGATGAACATGTTAAAATATTTACACATGAAAGAATCAACTCCCAAGAGTGGCATCACATGGTCTGAAATGGGCACAACAAACAACGAAGGTAAAGAGGTCCATAGACCTCCTCGGCTCGGGCGAGCTTGATCGTAATGTTTTCTCATTTCACGTGTCATTACATAGAGTATACTTTCTTTGTTTAATTTTTGCTCATGAGAAGACACATGAATATGGATACAATTCAAACAAGTAATTTATTCTAAAAAGAATGACACGTACGCGCGCGGTCTGTAATGGAAAAACAATGCGCCTGAGCCTAGAAGGTCTATGCTGATATATCACCAATATCAACCACTATTAAAATTTCGTTTCTTCAGATATCATTTGTTCAGAGGAAAACTGGCAAAGTACCATACTATTTGGGATTGCCTTTAAGGGGTGCAAGCTGGGAAAGACTTTATTTCATCTGATCTCGCACCCAAGTTTTGTCCAACAATCCTATGTACAACAATGTGGTCATCAGCAGTCTTCCTTTTAACTTGGTCCTTCTCATCGCGTTGTCATGGAAAACCAGAAAAACGTTTCTCAAGGTACGTTTACGTTTATAGTTTAGTTTCGCTTTGATGACAGGAAATGACGAGGACCCTATGTATGTTAAGGCTATGCATGTTAAGGATATTGCAGTGGCAGCAATATTTACAGTTATTTTATTTTTTTGCGGAGCCCGAAACACACAAAGGCGAATATATATAGCCCTATATACGAGAAATGCAGGACTTCTGTGATTCCGGCAATTGATATTTCATATTTTTGGATTATGGTTTTCTGTCAAATATTAGATAGGGATCGACTAGTTTTTCATCTATATGTCACTGGTCTTCTGTTATGGCTCAAATATATATAGTGAAGAACTTTGAAAGATGGTGGTTAACTTACTCTCACACTGCTTGCTCGTGTATCCTGGCCGACAGATGCACTTGTAATAAGGGTGTTGATGCATGAGGTTTATCCATCGCTTGCTTAACATGTTTTGTTTGTACAGATCAACGCATGTGCCACCATTTTTACAGGGATCACCTTTACAGAAATTAGGAACTGTGGAGAAATATTGCACATAAATACCAACAAAGCATATTAGAAATGGAGAGAAGGGAATGAAAATGGGAATGAATGGAAATAGGAATGAATAGGAATAGGGATGAATAGGAAGAAGAATAAATAGGAATGAATAGGAATAGTAATGAATAGAAAACACACATGTTGCATAGAACAGTAGGAAACGATACGAAAGTGCGTCACGATATAAAATCTGACCACTTTAAGCAAAACATCTTGAAACACTATGACGCTAAGCGAAACGAAAAACGATAGGTAGGAACCTGGATAAACACGGCACGGTACGATATAATGAGCCACGACAAGAATCGACACGACAAAATACAGTAAAGCAGTTTTTGTACAGTCTGTATGACCGTGAAAAGCTCAGTGCTCAGAAAAGAAAAGCTCAGAAAAGACGGCTAGCTTTGCTATGACCGTGATTTTATTTAGAATTTTAGTTGGCTGATTCTCGCGCAAAGTGATTTGTCTGGCGTATGCCTTGCTTTGTCAAGACTGTGTTTGCGACGCGAGCTTTTGAAAGTCATATAAAAACTGTTGTATGTCGAATCATACACGAACACGATACCGCACGATATATCATAATCCCATCCACACGATGTGACCAATTCGTCACACGACATGCGACCAGACGGCAAAAGATGACACAAGTTAGCGCATCTCAAGGCCTTTATTCAGCACAAACCACGGTACAAACCGAAAAATGTTCCATATAACATTATATCTGTAGAAAAATATAATGAAGTACCAAAATACCTTCACATTTTTTTCCTTCGAAGAACACTGGACACGTGCAGCTGTACGCCCACTTGTTATCACCACCGGCCGTTGCTTGAACCACCCCACAAGCGCCTCCATTCAAACATGGGTTGCTATGGCAAACGTGCTCTAGAAAATGAAAATAGGAGGTTTGTAAGTTACATTACTCCCTTGGCTATTGCGTTATTATTATTATTATGTGAAAAAAAATATATTGACCAAAATCCACTTGGTCGTAATGTTTTCCCATTTTACATCACCTGTTATTCCCTAGAGTATCATTTCTTTGTTTAA